AAGGGATGTACGATCGTCCCCTCTGCGGCCAGGAACGGGAGCGAGGAGGAGGAGGAGAGGCCAGGGTGTCCGATCACCCCCTTTGCGGGCCCGCGTATATAAGGCGCGATAGTGTACCCTGTACTCTATCGCTTAGATCGTCTGAAGAACTACCTTACTCCGTGCAAGGAGGCGTTATCAACTCATCAGGCCCGACACGACCCGATTCAAACCTTCGACCACCGACAGCGACAAGGGACCGAGTTCACGGGCCCTTTCAGTTTCGATCTACCCCGCCCGCCGTCCTTGCGGGCCCGACTATCCGTCTGTTCTGTTCCGGGCGTGTGTTCTTAGGAGAGGTCCTTGCACGGCCCGACCCGCAGTCTGACAAAGAGCTGCTCTCCCTATATCATGAACCACCACCTCACCGTCAAGAAGAACACCCTGCCCCTATAATTGTGCAGGATCAGCCAGAATATGAGATTAAGAAAAATTCTCAAGTCACGGAAGAGAGGCAGAGGCTGGCAATATCTTGTGAAATGGAAAGGCTATCCATATGGTGAGAATACCTGGGAGCCTCAGCAAAATCTTACCAATGCTAAGGAGTATATCACACAATTCCTTGAGGAACAGAACTCTAACCAGTACCCGAGCACTGGCACAAGACACCATAGGCAACCATAGTCTGCTTGTGTCTGCAAGACTTGCCACACATACAGAAGAAGAGCAGTTTGATCACCAGGAATTTGGTCAAAGACGCTCTCATATAACAGTTTTCTAGTTCCATTTCCTGAATTGCTGTAAGGGCAACCCCGGAGGCCTGAGATCAAGGCCTAGCAGGGGAGGATCCAAAGCGTGAATATTGGTAAGCAAATACAAATGAAGCTGACCTAGCAGGGGAGGATCCAAAGAGAAGAAACTCTAAGGGTCCACCTGCTAGGTAGCTGACTATATACTGCTTGTCTGTAGCTGCCGCTGTTGGGCACAGAAGGCTTGGGCGGTGTCGCAGGCAAGGTCCCAGGGCGACCATTGGGAGGGCATTGACGGATCGGTGATTGTGCTGGCGAGATGGAGGGCTGGACCGGAGACGCCATCGGAATCGGACCGGAATCGGAGATGTCTCCGAGGGGTCGAAAGGGGGGTTCCCCTGACAATTGCCTTATATATCTGGATTATGGCTTGCTACCACTCTTGGTTCAATGAGGACATTGATCATAAGAGGGGGGTAATGTTACACTTTCTAGGCTCTGCTGATATCATCAACCTCCATCACATCACACCAACCAACCCCAAACAAAGGCTAGCACAGCCTTACCATATTTGGTTAGATGATATCATCAATCCATCAATGACTCAGACCGAGTCATATCAATCTGAGTCATAAGTCATGACATGAGTCAGGGTGAGTTGGTATGTGTCAGAGTGAGTCAGTATTAGTCAGCCTGGAATTAGTATATAAGGAGGACGCTGGTGGCCTTCTGCTCCTAGCACGTTTATTCTCTTTTCCCTCCTACCTCCTGGGAAATAGTCATTCAGTTGTATCATACCTATCAATACAACTTGATTTCATCATTAACCACTACAACATTAGATCATTTGATCATCCATTAAGTTGGCCCATCATCTTATCCGGCTTTGTTTGTGACATCATCACTTATGCATCAACTAGTGATTAGCTTGTGCTGGCACAACTATTGAGCTACCACTATAATAGTGGTAGCACTATTAGTTACTTAATGAAAGTTGTTTTGTATAAAAAAAAATGTACAACCTTGATTTTGTGACGATCTGTGACATTCTCTAATGGTTTTAGTCTCAAACGGCAAAAATTTCCTTTTCTGCAAATCTCCCACACTCTGTGACATTGGTAACATCGTGACCCGGTGCTGAAATGCACACAAGTTGCCAAAAGGGTTAATTATTCATTGCTATTTATAGTATGATACACTTATATTATAGTCTTATAGAAAACCCTTTGTATAGAAAACCTTTTGTGACGTCACATATCAGTGTTAGATTTCAAGTCTGAGTGTCATACTGCTTAAATTATTCATAATTATTCATACTGGATGGACTTAGATGAAAAAGCAGTGTTGAAACTTGAAATTATTCATCCTACTTTCCATGAATTATTCATTTGTATGGGCATTGCAGATATCACCATGAATTATTAGGTCCAACCTGCTGTGGTGGACCTGAAAATTCACAGTGTATACTGGGCTACACAGGTGTAAAGTATCTGAACATATAAGTCACCCACTACACATTAGTTGAACTACCAGATATTCTCTTTCATATGACTGAAAAGTAGATACAGTGATCATATTGTAACATAGTGATCAAATATCTTGGTCAATTAATGGTACTGCTGAAGACCTGTCTGATAGTACTTAAATCATGTATATACCTCCAGTAGTTATGGAACTAGAGCCTCATTAGCTGTACATTAGTTAGTGATTTGGCAGTACGGGCACAACTATTCAATTGACACTATAGGTTACTTAATGAAAGTTGTTTGTATAGACAAAATATATAAATTTGCTTTGTGACAATGTGTGACATTATCTGATGATTGTATGGTCAAATGGCAAAAATTCCCTTTTCTGGAAATTTGTCATGCTAGTTACACTATATAATTCTGTAAGCCAGGGACCTCACCTAGCCCAAGTTTCTCAAAGTTCCAATTATTTATTATTCTTCAGACATGAATGGACTCAAAACTAGCTCAGAGCACGTGTCAAAACCACCCAACCAAGACTTGGTTGCTAACCAAATTTTGACCTCGACTTGGCATTTGGGTGCAACTATAATATTAGGCAAAACTTTGATTTTAAACCAAGTTTTTAGCAAATTTCAGCCTAGATATACCCTATTGAGCATCTGGAGAAAACCTGGGTCCAAAGCCAAGCCTCACAGAAGAATTGGTTGCAGAGCGTCTGGGAAAAAACACAACCACACATATGGGTCCCCTACCTATTAGAGAGTTTGTGACATTCCACCGGGAGCCACCCAGTGGCCAAATTACGTTGCGATCACTGGTGGCTCCAGTGGCTATCAATTCTGCTAATTCACACCAGTTTTGAGTAGAAATTGTGAAAAAACTCAAGTTTCATGAAATTTTATTCAAATAAGACACAATTCTTGGAGCAAGATGACATCATAGCCACGTCATGTTAACTCAGTCTAATTTGAGCTTATTCGGTGATGAGTGCGGAGTGGGGACAGCAAATGAGCTCTCTAACTAACCAAACCAACAAAAACAACTAAACTCCACTTGACGTAGAGAGAAAGATGTATAATGTTGAGTAGGAAAAGTCACAAAACCCAAAAATCATCGACTCCTTGTGCGAGAACAGACCCCTGTGAACAGAGCCTTGGCACAATGTGTAAGGTTGTAGGGTTGATACGAGTTTCTTGCGAAAAACATTGATTTTGTGTGCCCCAAAGTGTACTATCGACGAAACTCAGTAATAGAGAAGCGCCAATACGATGCCCGGAGAGTTTATACTCGTTGGATCAGGACTAACTGCCTTAAACCCTCTGAGTTGTCTCGAGTCAGGAACTAACTGCCTTAAACTCTCGACCAGCAACCGAAACCCAATAAACAGCAACCGGAACTCTTACATTCCGCAACCGAAACCCTCAACCAATAATCCTCCCGACCGCGTTGATACTATTTCGAAAGAGCTAGCAAGATAGATTGACGAGCTAGATCCCCAGATGCACCTAGTAGAGTGGGGCAATCCATGAATCCCCCAAATACAAGACAGTGATATAAATACTAAAACGAAATTGATAGAATCAGGGAAAATCTCAAGTAAGAAGAGTCGTCCATGTGCATAATTGTATAGGTATCGTTTCGCCATACGGCCCAGAGTTGAAAATCCAGGTCCAGATGACTGGTATCGCGTGTATTGGTGTCAATGACCTGTGTAAATCTTCTGTGTTCGTGACCATCTAGTTTTCCTTGTGAAGAATCCCTCGATCTTGAGTAGGATAAGTGGATAGCTCTGCTTCCCAGCTTTCGATTGACACCCATAACTTGTATCTTGTGCGTATGGCCTCAGCAGTAGTTGTCCCAGCTCTCCTGGTGCATTTCCAATGTTCAGATGATCAGTTCCTCGACAGTGTTTTAGAGTCGCCGTTGATCACAGGTCCAGGCCCCAATCAATTGAGTAGGTTTTCGCCGTTTAACCGTCCCTTGGGACTCTCGATCCTCCAACATGATCCGAAACCATGTTCCAATGATGTCAGTTGTTGATACCAACAGAGATAGGGGTATCCCTTATCTAGGAGAAGTCGACTTCAAGTCTCCACTGAGCGCCAAACCAAATATGCCTTTTAGAATGCACTCCCTTTGGGGATTTTGCATAGAATTGGATAGATTCTAGCAAGAAAAGGGCTCTGCAAACTTTTCCTAGTCAAGATTTTGGAATCACTGAGAGCGATTTGATAGATTTTGACTGGATTTTGACTGGTTCTTGTGCAGATAACTCCCTAGTTGACCATTCGGGACTCATGTCAACTCTGAGACGTGCGCTGAGCAACAAAATCGACAAAAATAGTCGTTTCCTGGTCTGTCCCAGACTGTGGCTTATCATCGGGCCACATGATATCACTGTGGAGCCACTGGAGCCACCGGTGATCGCAACAAATTTCGGCCACCGGGTGGCTCCTGGTGGCACATCGCAAAGTCTCTATTATCAGGGTCCTGCTCCAACAAAGTGAGGCCCGAAATCGGGCTGGGTTTGTGGCCCGACCCAACAAGTAAATGAATTGTTAACAGCTTTTGTAATTTGTCAAATGATTACTGGCTGGTATTAACTTACCTTTTGTCTTTCAGTAAAGTTACCTTGCATATAAAAATACCTCTACAGTAATGACTGATCATAATATATATTATCAAACTTAAATAAGAAAAATATATATATATAAAAGAACCTTACAGGTCACATAGTTGATTATCCAAATAATCATATTGAGCACATTTTCCAGCATAGTCTCAAGGTTAGGCGGGGTGTTTATGCTAAATTAACATATTAGTAACTTAGAGTATTAAACAATGAAGTCTTGACTACCTGATAGTTGGATAGCACTATAGCATTTAGTCCAGTTATCTCCATGCATAAAATTCTCATAGGAGAAGTTGACTTTGTGATGACTAATGACCTTGGTACTCAGTGGCATATAAAATCCTGGTCGAAAATCTGGAGGAAGCCAAAAAAGAAGATCTTCCTGTTCAGATAGAACCCAGCCATCATCACTAAGTTTCCAAAAGGGTGATAAGGTAGGCAGTGTGAAGCTCTAAACATATATAAGTCAAAATAATATAGCTAATAAAACTAACTGACATTAGATGTAGGCAGCATAGTATAAGAGGAGAATAAGGAACCAAGAGTATGTATTCTCCATACTCTTATAGTTTGGTCCTGGGAACTAGAAACAATAAAGTTTCCATCAGGAGAAAATGCAACAGAGAGAACTGCATCAGTGTGGCCTTCCAGAGGCTGTTTCACAAGTTCGCCTGTTGCTACATTCCATATCCGGATTGTATGATCAAGTGATCCAGATACAATATACTGGCCATCTGGTGAGAAGGCTACTGACCGGACAGAGTCAGTATGTCCTATAAGACAATGTTTGACATGATCTGTTGCAAGAGTATTCCAGACATCCACATAGCCATCAGAAGACCCAGAGGCAATATACTGACCATCTGGTGAGAATGACACTGAGCAGACAATTCTAAAATGTTCTTCAAAAGGGTAATGCCTCACAATATCTCCATTCATAGCATCCCATATATGAACATTTTGATCATAGGAGCCAGAAACAATATATCGGCCATCTGAAGAAAATGCAAGAGAGTAAAATAGGTTGCTATCATACTCAGTAGAATACCAAACAAGTGCTTGTGTATGTGCATTCCATACAGATATAGTGTTTGAAGCCGAAGCAATATATTGGCCATCTGGTGAGAACACTACAGAGAAAACTGGAGAACTATGCTTAAGAGATCCAATGCAGTCTCCAGTAAGTGCATTATATATTTGCACAGTCTCATCAAGAGATCCAGAAATAATATGCTGACTATCTGAAGAGAATCCAACAGAGCGAACTGCACCAGTATGTCCTTTAAGACTATAGCTGAGATTATCTTCAGCAAATGTATTCCATATATGTATGGTCTTATCATCAGATGCAGAAGCTATATACTGACCATTGGGTGAGAATACAACAGTGTTGACCGAGCCAGAGTGCTGTTCAGGACAAGTCCTCTCACTATTTCTGTGCATAGACATTCTAGCAGATGTTAAAATCTTACTATTATGACCTTTGGCTAAGGAAATTGTGTTGACTAGATCATAATATTCAGAGATATTCCATATTCTTACTGTGTTGTCATCAGATCCTGAAATAATATATTGGCCATCTGGTGAAAAGGCAACTGAGCCAACATCAGCAGTGTGTCCCAAAAGTGGATGTCCAATATGAGCTCCAGTCAGTAGGCTCCATACATGTATAGTCTGGTCCTGAGATCCAGACACAACAAATTGGCTATCTGGTGAAACTGCTACTGAAAGAACTGGAGCAGTATGTCCTTTGAGAGAATGTTGAACATGATCTCCTGTAAATGTTTTCCAGATACGAAGAGTTTTGTCTGCAGATCCAGACACAATATACTGCCCATCTGGTGAGAATGCTACAGACAAAATCATGTTAGTATGTCCTTGAAGTGAACAACCAACAGGATTTCCAGTAAATGCATTCCATATTCTGAGTGTTGAATCTTCAGAGCCTGAGACAATATATTGACTGTCTGATGAGAATGCAAGAGAGATAATTCTGCCTGTATGCCCCTCAAATGGCTGCTCAAATGGCTCTCCAGTATGTATATTCCATATCTGCATCCTCTGGCCACCATCCATAGCAATAAGCTGGCTATCTGGTGAGAAAATAATCCGCTTAATATCAATGCCTCCTAGGTCAGATTGTCTTATCAGATCTCCAGTAGGTGCATGCCATATTTGCAACATATTACTTATAACAGATCCAATATATTGTCCATCTAGTGAGAGAACAGGTCTGCTATAAATCCTTAGATCCGGACTCACCCCCAGGTTACTTGCTGGCCAATGCCCAAGCTGCTCTCCTGTTATAGCATTCCGGCAGTATATAGAGTGTACATCACAGATGATAATAGATTGTCCATCAGATGAAAATCTTGCTCTGTGAACTGGTGAATCCTGATGGAAAGTTTTTACAAGTTGTGGCCAGTCTTTCCAAGCTCCCTGGTTGACCTTGAGTGTCTGATTCAAGCCCCCTTCTTTCAGTTGCGAAGTTATCATGTGGGAGTTCTGAGGTATCAAATTTAATGCGGACACATATAAATGTGCTGTACTATGCTGTATACATCCCCCAAAAACTTGCAGGAAACTAGCAAGCTCTTGAAACATTGCTTTGTGCTTTTCATTCTGTATTTTATGAGGAATAGTCAGCATATAGGTGTCTATCTTACCTGGATCCATTGTGATATTGTCTTCACCTGCTGCATTATCACTGTCACCCCACCTAATAAGGCAATCACTTCTAGCCAAAACCATACATTGGTCATCAGAAGATTCTGGATATCAGAAAGATTCTGAGTATGTGGGGTGATATGCTTGATCCAGTGCAAAAACACAGTATCTGAGGTGTGGTGGAATATATTTCATAATATCCAAATTTTGCTCTTCATTTGACTTGTATGATGTTTTAATATCACAAATATTGAACCTAAGTTCATTTAATTGAACCTGGATAATTCTCTTAATAACAAATATTTGTGCCTTTTCAGAGCTACAGCTGAAGTCAGGATTATTTATGTCTTGGGCAGGTTGATGTACAAATTCCTTGAATGATAGATGATATAGCTGAACAAGACTGGCTGTGTCATCTAGATCTGGAACAAATACCACAGCACTTAATCTCATGAGATACTTATGAACCTTCTCCTTGTTTATATCTAGTAATTTAGCCAGAGTATCAAGACTAAGTGGCTCAAAAAGATTAAGCACAGTATAAAGTATACTGAGTTGTCTTTCATATTGATCCTTTCTCCACTGTTCTGAATTTGCCTCTGGCCTCTGGATGGCTGATGATACAACATTCAAGTAGAGTGCATTAAGATCTTGATGTCCAGTTTGCATATTCAACAGATATTCTGCTTGTTCATCCCAGCTGTTCTGGCTATCAGATGTACTGATATATCTAACACAAGTGGCTGCATATATGAACAGTCCAGCAGCATGATATGAGATATAACTGATAGTAGAAGCAGCCTTTGACTTGTCATACCAATTTGTTGATGTAAGGGGAAGCAAGTGGTGAAGATATCTGTTGATATCTGCTCTAACAATATGCTGCTCAAGATGGTCCAGCTTAATATCAAAAGCAGATGCCTTGAGAGGACCAGTCATAATTGTTGCTGGAACTTGTGGTCTCCCAGTAAGGAAAAAACGGATAAAGAAAGGAATTTTATCTCTGGCAGTTGTCAGCCATGATACAACTATCTGGCCCTGATCCTGCCCACACTCATCAAGAGCATCTAGACAAATAATCCAAAATGATTGAGAGGAGGGGACTTGTAACTGATTCAAAAGAGCTATGACAAGCTTATCAAACTGGTTCTTAGGATCTTCATTCAGGACCTGAAATTGACTGTCCTCAAGAAATTTTCCGAGTAGCCTTTTGAACTCAGAACTATATGCTGCCAGTTGATAGGCAAGAGCAATAGGTAAGCCTCTATGGTCATTACGTCCAGCAAAGCGGTATGAGAAAAAGAAAGAGGCAGCAAGAGAATGCTCCTCTGCTAGCTTTGTAGCTACTGTCTTAGCAATTGTAGACTTCCCAGACCCTGCTGAGCCAGTAAGCAGGATAATTTGCTGTGGATATTGATTGCTGGTCAATCTAGCAATGATTTCTTGGGTAACTTTTACCCTGGTATCTTCCAAGCAGCAGTTGGGTGTATTCTCAGCATTATATTGAGCTGCAATATATCTTGCATCTAGCTTACTGAGAGCTTGATTCATTTTGTCTTTTGATTGTTAATCCATAAAGTGTCATGATGTATGTAATTCTTACCCTCAGTATAGAACTGTTGTGTGAGAATAAATAATGCTATCTGCATTTCTGTCTTGAAGAAAGCTTAGTTTATGATGTTTCAAGTTACTGGTGGAATTGTTTAAGACTGACCATAAACTTTTGAAGGTATGCATTTAGTTTTGTCTTGATATCACTGATGTCTGCTTTGATAGATGGGCTCTTCCAGAAGTTTCTCTTCTTCTTTGAGCTCTGTAGAAGGTCTTCACATTGAATAATATATGGCTCTAGCTTGCTGCAGCATATGATTAATACACTAAGTTGCAACAACACATTCAAAATACCTCTTCAATACAGAGAATAAATGCTGGACTTCTGGGATATCAGCTAATTTCTCCATCTGTATTTCACAGATTTCCTTTAGCTGGTCAATAAGACCGGGCAGCTCCTTCTTGTTGTACTGTGCAGTCTGTAACATGACAACACCCTGAGTCGATCTTGTGAGGGAAGTGGTGGCAAACTCACCGAGACCATTTCAAGAAGCCCCTTCATCACATTGAGACAGCTAGAGATCGCTCCTCCTGCAATTGGAATACTTGTTGTGAGCTGTGCTGCCAGCCCAATGGCATCTGTTGCACGAGCGGAGTTGGTTTGGGCATCCAAGGTGGGGGTGGGGGCCATGGTGGTACGAGAGAGAGCTGTGGAACGTCGAGCATGGCGATGCCATGATGGGCAGTTGCTGTGATTCCACGACCCTTCGCAGTGTGGCGCCACTTATGATTCGCCGCGAACTCTATGATGGCTGGGAATAAATATGCCCCGTTCATATTCATACTCGCGCCGTAACTCCGAATCATATGAGAATCAAGATATCCCGAGATCTGTATCCTCACACCCGTTTAACTACACACCACTCCGCTCCTCCTGAAATCTGAAATGTTCGATGAAAACGGGTTTTCGGATGTGCCTGAATCCCAACTGCTGCCAGTGGGAGGACAAAAGAGTCAACTTGGGGTGTCGTCGATACACTCGAGACAGCAGACGTCTGGGAGTCTGGCCCCATGACAGTAAGCCACGGTGAATTCCTGGTCATGGTACCAGTTCGGAGTCTCTCAATTGAGTTCCAACTGGTTAGCTGACAGCTGCCAGTGCTGACTAGATTGTCAAGGTCAGGGTCGATAATCAAGAAAACTATTTCGAGTCAGTATAGCGGTCAAAACGATGGGTATACACAGATCACTGACCACAGCGATTTGAAGCTTCGAGAGCTGTTTGTGCGCTATTCGGCATATTCGCTCTAGCTCCACGAGTATACTGTCACCGTTACTGGTCTCTCCAAGTCTCCAGCCTGAGGATTGGGCGTTCCCACCGCCACCTCCAGAATAACTCGATCCGAACCGGAGACTAGGAATTTGGCGTCAGACGGCATTCTTAGGTTCGACGTGCGTTGCGAGCTGCTGCTGGCGCTGCTCGCCCACTGGCAGTCGTGTGGCGATCAACTCAAACTGTTGGATCCCTGCATCGTACGGCGCAACTTTCCGGGCCACAGCAGGACATTTAGCGTCTTTCGCATTTGCGCCGGGCAGAGAAAACGGCCGTGAGGAGCACCTCGACGAGCTGAAAGACCGACAGAGGGTTAGAGTTAGCTCCTGCGCCTTCTGTGCCGAGCCCATCGCATTCACCTGGCACTTGCATGTGTGTTGCCAATGGATGAGAGAGAAATCAAGGGATGCGGACGCAAACGTGACGTCACAACTTATCCTCGCCAAACCAGTGACTGCCAACCGCCACCTTTCTTTTCGCAGGGAGATGACCAGACCATTGCCCGGGAGGGTGCAGAAAATCCTTCGTCGCCATGTCCAATGCGCGATTGCTGCTTGTGCTCGCCTCGCGACAATATCGCGACTTGAATCCATTGCGCCAGATAGCTAAGTATCCAGCAACTAGGGTTTATGTCAATGCGCGAAGGCGCCCCGCTGGTTACAGTTACTGCCAAGGCCTGCGGAGAGCGATGCAACGGTCGCGGTTGTCTCACTTTACAGTTGCGCCACCGAAAACGCCGACATAGTGCTGGTTACTGCCAATGCTCGCTCGACGAACGCAGTCGTCGGGTTGTCAGAGGAAACAAAAAAAAAGTGAGATCCATTAGTTACCGAGCCCAAGTACTGTAACGTTAACCGTCCGAAGGAAAGATAAGTACATTAACGAAAGAACGAGCTACAAGGACCCCGGACTAGTGGAGGTCGTGCTCGAAGTCGTTGTGACGCTTGTGCTTGCACATTTGGCCGCATTCCTCCTTCATTTTCATCTCATGCGACATCTCCGGCTTCTTGGGCATGTCCATCTTGCCTTTTTCCATGTTCATTTCGGGTTTTTTGGGCTCCATCTCGGGTTTCTTGGGCTCCATCATTCCGGGCTTTTTGGGCTCCATTTCGGGCTTCTTAGGCTCCATCATCTTGTGCTCCATCTCGGGCTTCTTGGGCGGCTGCTCGTTCTTGTTAACGGTGACCGTTTTGCAGCCTACAAGCGCTCAGCAGCCATACCAACGTCGTCAAACAAGGCACGTACCGTCCTCCTTGGCGAAGAGCTCCGTCGAGACAGCGAGCAAGTTGCTCTCGCCGAGCTTGTTCTGCGTGTAGCGCGAGTTGAACTTGATCACGCTCTTGAGGGCGTTGAACGTCTTGACGTTCACGGGGGAGGGGCTTCTCGAGGACGAGGAAGGTGAGGCCCTCAGCGCAGGGCGGGGTGGTGAGCGAGCCGGTGTACTGGAAGAGGGGGCCGTCCTCAACGGCCTTGATGAGCGCCGCGAAATCGAGCTTGCCAGTCTTGGTGGCGGTGCCGGGTTTGCCGACGTCCTTGAGGTTGGCGGTGGCAGCGGTGAGGAGCTCAGTGGTCGAGCCGTCCTCCGTGAGCTGGAAGGGGATCGCGATGACGGCGATGGACGCGTCTGCACGGGAAGCACAGTCAGCAAATCGCCCATCAAAAGAAGCACGACGAGATGACCAATTACCTTTCGCCTGGTGGACCATGTGCATCTCCAGCGGGAAGTACTCGTCGTTGATGCGGTGCTCGCTGGGGGTGTGGAGATGGAACTGCTTCAGGTCGAACTCCTTGCCCTCGACGGTCGTCTTGCCCTTGCCCTCGCCGATGACGACCTCGAGCGTCGTGCCCAAGTTTTCGAACTCGGTCTCCTCGAGCGTTTCGATCTCGATTTTCGGCTTCGACTTGGCCTTGCCGACGGAGTCGTCGAGGACGATGGGCGACTGCACTTTGCTCGAGCGGCACGCGCTGTTGGCCGGGTCCAGCCCCGCCCAGTTGAGTGGCCCTTGCAGACCAGAGTAGCCGAACTTGCTAATGTCGACCTTGCCCTCCGCGCGTGGCATGAAGGACGTGCCGTGCATGCAGCTTGCGCTGGCGTACGTGACCGCTAGCGACGATACGAGTAACCGGGTAAACATGGTTGGTGAAAGACGCAAGGGATTACAAGACTGAAGCTTGAAAGTCCAGACGGCGTTACAAAGAGGCCTTTTGTCTTCGAAGGAGTAGATGTCGAGTCCGCACGCAGACACGACAGAGAGGAAGAAAAGAGGAAGAGGCGGGGGGTTGCGAAGCAGAAAAGAAAGAGTGGGCGGTACAAATATGAAGGCGCCCGAGAAACGCAGATCCTGGATTTTAAAGCATACGGTTGTCCCACCGCGAATGGATCGCAGTCCCGCAAGCGTTGATACATGATTGGGTTGTTCAGCACAAGCGGGTCCATCGGTCCAGACCGCAATTCAACACGTCCGCTTGGCGCGCTTGGGTGGGCGGAACTCGACGTGCTTGGCTTGTCTTGGATCAATTCTTGGTAAGCTTGGCCGTCCTTGGTACGCTCGGCGCTGGCGATGCCCGTCGTTCCGGTCAGTGATAATATTCGTTGAAACGTGCGCAAAAGTCCGGTAGCCAATCACGGCGCACGCTGCGTTTGATTCGCCTGTTCCTGGCGTCGCTGATGGGGGCGCCTAATCTAATGAGAGGTTGCCCCGAAAGTGCTCGTATCTTCGCTTCCCAACTTGAACCTCCTCGCCGGATTGCCTCCGTGTTCAACCTCCGCTTGATCGTGGAGCGCGAGAGGTTAAAGTTGAACATTTGTGGAGCACTTTGAGCTCCCAAGTCCAGGGTCGTGTTGAACAACAAGGGTCCATCGTGATTTCATCCCGTAGGGCGGCCTATTTGGGGTGAGTCCCTGCGAGAAACTAGGCTGCCTGGGTGATCCTTGCGCGTGCCGTTGATTGGACCGTGAACTGCCATGCACTTGGGGTGCTTGGATCCGAGTACCGCCCAGCGGCGCGCTTCTTGGCGGGCGCCTGGGGTGCGCCCACCCCAACGCCAGCGACGCGGCTTCCGGCGGCGGGATCCTCACCCGAGTCGAGACGTGGCAGTCTGCAAAAAGGACGCCGTCGATGGTCGTCTGGTGACCATGACATTTTTTAATTTTCGAGAGTCCAGACCGCGCTGATCAGGGTCAACTGCGGTGCCTAAGACATTTCTAAGAATAACGTCGGCGGCGGGCTGGGCAGCTTAGAGTTGCATAGCTCAGGTGCATGCTATTCTGGGTCGACGAAAAGCGATTTGCAGCTGTGTAGCTGCGCTGTTGTGTAGGCTACCGCAGGGCGAACAGCCAGTTGCCCGCTGAAAGCGTGTCGGACAACAAGCCCACAGGGAATGTGTAAACAAAAACAGTCCGCGTGTCCTGGTCTATCTGCGAATTTTCAATTTTTGTTCCAGTCTGGATCAGGCTCGAGCTTGTTCCTTGATGTGCTCTGAGAGGACGTTGCGCTTAAGTATCTGCGCCGGCGAGGGAGCTGGAGGCCGGCTTGTTGACACCATCGAAAAGTTGTGGTATCGGTGCAATACAGGTCCAGATGAGCACGGAGGACGAGTTTTGTTGCGACGTTAATCAGTGCGCGTTTTCACAGCCTGTACTAGTCGGCTTCCCGGGTTCGCCGGGGATGCTACTCTCAAAACATGCCCGATGGTACCCAGGTACGACAGAGAAACTACGCCTCCACACTTGAATGTTGCCGTTCCCAATGGTAACGCATAGATAGGTGGACCCGAGGAGCATATCAACGACAATATGTAGTTGTATTACAAGTAGCTCTTCTAGTCCATCATCGACAAGGTGTAAGCACAACAAAGGTGTTATGGTTGTTGTCGGTAGAAACATATGGAGTAGTAGGCAAAACACGGCCCTATTGTCGCCAAAGGGTCGTCCACTTTACAAGTCGCCAACCCGGGTTAGCGCAACGCGCCGCTTTTTCTTCGGGGGACCATCGTCCCCCTCTTGCTTCTCTCCTTCGACCCCTTTGGACCCGCTTGCGCCTGCATCATCCACAGTCGCATTCGCTGGCAATGGCGGGATCGACTCCCGATCACCGTCAACACTCGCAGCAGGCGTCAACGGCTCCAGCGGCCGCTTCCTCCCGCTGAGACTTGGTGTCGCGGGAGTGCTTCCAGGAACAACCATAGAATGAGCCGCCGCAATTTGCTGGAGTTGCAGCACCGTCTGCTGGGTGTGATGTGGTGGCAAGATTTCGTCAAAAGTGACCAGCGTGCAATACCCGTCGCGCGAGGATACAATCAGGCATTGACCATCGGGCGACCACGACAAGTCCGTAAACTCATCGTAATGGAGCTTCGTGAGCAGACAGATGGGTCCCGCTTGCTGGGTGTCGTAAATCGCAAGTGTGTCCATCGTGACGACGGCATACAGCATTCGATAGGGAAGCGCGAAAATGGAGCCTGTGCCAGGAAGATTGGAGTGTGGTGGCGGGGGTAAAGGAATGGCATTAATTCGTGGAGACGAAGGATTTGACGGAACTGGTGTTGCCAAAGAAGGTGGTCGACTCGAATCGACAGGTGAGATTGTTGGAGAAGCCGATGAGGAAGGTCCGGTAATATCTACTTCAATATTTTCCTCGACATCTCTTGGCCCGTCTCCCGCACCTGTTGCGGTTCCTTGAGCAGATTTTGTACCACCCAGAACACCCGGTCGCAAATCGAAAAGGACAGGATTGAAGCGGACCGCAACACTAGCTTTTTTGTGGCCAGGAAGCTGTGCGACGGGCGGGCGGGCAAAGTTGGCGCGAGAGTAGATGTAGACTGTGGAGTTGGACGCATTTGTCGCTTGTTGCTCCGCTGGCCCAACATTTTCCGTGGATGACCGAGCTTTCCGCCCTCGTGACGACATTTCAGCATCCGCCTCCTGGTCCGCGTTCTCCCATCCCGGCACACTTGCGCTGGGGTCTTCGAATGTGCCGGCTGGCGTCAACAAGAGACCACCATCTGGACTGAAAGCCAGGCGACGGAAAAAGTTGCTATAGCCTTCATCGCCATACATTCTGGCCCCGTCGGTGTATCTTCGTTCGTCATAGCGACTTCTACTGCGACTCCGCTCATCGTACCGACCAGCCCAGCCAGCACTAGCGCTGGGAGGTGTTCGGATCGCAGGAAGAGCGGGCATCGGAGAAGGACTACGAGCATGAGCTCGTGAGACTACAAATCAGGATTTTAGCATTAGAAGAAGAGAAAATAGAAAGATAACACGAACAGCCAGGCGAACTGGGAGCATTACTGCCACTGAAAGATGATCGACGACTTGAAGTGCCCGCAGGTGGTGGTGGAAACATGGCAGCATTAATTGAAGCTGTTGCCAACATCGACACTGGAGTAGGTGGAAAGGGAGTGGAAAGACCCGGCTCTCTTTCACGGTCGCTTTCGATGGATTGACTTCGCATGAGAAGGGGTCGACTCCATTCAGTGCTGCTGGCGCTGAGGATCGACTCGTCTCGGTGAATCGATGGAGTACGGCTGTGAGCTCGAGGGGTTGGTGTATGAGTGGGAAAACGGGTGTTTCTTCCAACGGCATGGGCTTCAAAGCTTCCCTGAGGCGAAAGAGTTAATATCACTTGAGGGAATGACCAAAGGATGAGACGCACTTTGGAGGTCGAGATTCGATAGACATGCATAGAGCGGTCTGAAGATTGGGTGGCAATATACTCGTTCAACGGATCCCAAGCAACGCCTTGAACATAATGTGAATGCTCAGCGATTTCATGGACACATTTCCCTGGATGGAAATGAGTAAAGGGAGTAGAGCAATAGCTAGCTCAAAGAACGCACCATCTGCTGCAGCAAAGACTCTGGCTGTATTGTCCGTGCTCCCAGTCAATAGATATTCGCCCGTTGGACTCCAAGCAAGGTCATAAACCTGCATCGTCGTGCAACGAAACGTGGTTCGCGGCTTCCAGTACTCCTTTTCGTACTGCAAGTCTTCAGCGCTGAGGTCGCTCCCATAGGTCGTCGTCTGTGGACTGGCGCTCTGAGCCCAAATAATGACCATGCCGTCGTCACCAGCAGACGCGATGAGCTCGCCTATTTTACGCGTCAGCAGTCGTGGAAAGTCGCGTAAAATCGTTGCCACACACCGTTGGGGGAGAATCTGACCACGTTGACCGCTGCAGAATGGCGGCTCAGCGTGGCCAGGTACTCGACGCGAGCAGGGCGGCGTGATATTGACTCGTCCTCGACACCTGGCGGTCGGATATGCGGGTAAACCATCCAGACACGGACGTGATTGTCCTCTCCACCAGTGGCAAGGCGATAGGACTGGCCGCCAAATGCACGCGGGTCATTGGGCGGTGGGCGGGCTTTTTTGACGGGTACAGGTTGAAAATCGCAGGAGCTGATGGGCTTGGAGTCGTTCCATCGGATTTCTAGCGTTCGGAAACGCATGGGGGACGAGGGCAGGAGCGGGAAGTGGTGGGAGGAGAGCGAAAGTGTTTACGTACAAGGTCACTCGTGACACACACACATGACTAAGCGGCTTCACAAATTGCGTGTAATGAAACAAGAGATGAATCGCGGAAGTGCTTCACAGATAAGCATTTCATTTTTAGTACCCATGTGCAAACATGGCGGTATTTGCCAAATACCTGTCCATCTGCCGCACGCTCCCCCATCCCCGAGTGGACACCTGCTCCCCGCGCCGCTGCTCCCAGTCGAAGTTGTCGTCCCGGACCCAGGTCTTCCACGGCTCCCGCCCCAGTCGGACGCGCTTCAGCGTCGGAGCTGCCCCGCCCCACGCCTCGACAAAACGGCGCAGTTTGGCAAAGGTTAGACGCGGCCTGTCTTGTACTTCCACGGGGTGCCACCGCTGCGAGCTGAAGTACGCCTCGCAGTCAGACGGAGCCGTCGGTAGTGCATATAGATGGAGCACTTTGAGGCCCGATGTAGAGAACTTGGGGAGGTGGATTGTACCCACTTCGCGCATGAATTTCTATTCAAGGTGAATCAAGCAGCCCTTTACGGTCTAACACGCATACCTCTGAAGGAGTTCCTTGGTAGTACAGAACTTCGAGTCGTTCTAGTCCTGAATGCAACTCCGCAATGCGAGCAAAAACGTCGGGGTCCCAGGTGGTGAGGATTATCGCAAGCCTACGGAGGGGATGTGCAGCCAGGCTTTCAACGAAGCGGAGCGCGATGACAGACTTCGTTAGGGCATTCTGCACCGCCACGCGAGACAGCTTGGGGGCGGCAGCGGCAAACTTCTCCACAAACACCAAGGGGCCGAAGATGTCCTCCAACGCCGGAAATGGTTTGCTTGGTTCAGCCAGCGGGACATAATTTGTGGTGTAGTGGTGGTACAGACTTGGGGAGATGACGGATATACGCCGCAATACAGGGAAGTCGAACCGCTGGAGAGACTCATACCAGGTTTCGATTGTGTTCGACGCGCTGCCTGTGGAGTATCCGCTGCCTAGATTGAGGAAGACGAGTTGCGCGGCTTGAGCTTGGGTAAGCGAAATCTCGTCGTCTTGAAGCGAGTCCGTCGCGAGAGTGGAAAGCCGGGGGAAGAAGGAGAAGAAGTACTGCACATATTCATGCCTCCCAGTGAGTTTGTCCACAGGATAAGAAAGCCTGAGCGAGGTGACCGCGGGGAGAATATGAGGTGTATTTGAGATTTCAGGAATAGCGCACGAAGATAAAGTTAGTGCCGTCAGCCGCTCGAGACGCGCCAGAACGAAGAAGAAATCATCCGGGAGCGCAGTCGAAACCATGAACAACGATTGAAGGTGTGTGAATGACGGGATAAAATTACAGATAGCAGCCGTAGTGTGCTCAGGTATATCTGCAAAATGGAAAATTAGTCAGGAAATCGGCATGAAGAACTTGACACACCGCGCCTCCGGCCAAAGCAAAGCGCCAGCCGCTTAACATGCGTCAACTTGACTGCATGGTTGTGCCGGCGCCAGAACACAATATTGGACTCTGCAAGGGCCTGCGACTTCCATGCGAGCGCGGTGACATGTGCCTCCATGCTGAGTTCATGGAAGGCCCGTGAAACGAGCGCTACCGCGTTGAGCGTGGCGCGGTCGGCCATGCGGAAGACGAGCATAAGCAGCTCGTTCGGCAGCACGGGCAGCGGTTTCCTCGTCTTTGCCGTTGGCAGCCCTCTCGCCATGGCGGTTGCGATCTGCACGCCCATCGTGATGAAGGGTGAGAAAGATATGTAGCGTGGCACGTGCTAGCGTAATGTACACTAAATCTGTCCGCATTTGGTCACGATCCCGCGAAAATCAGCGGCTGTTGATATCATAACTAACCATGGGCATCCAGGATGAATACAGGTCTCGGAGCACCAGGCCGCGCAGCGACTCTGTTGGTCGCTCGGGCGCCCGCGCTCAAGCTCGACACGGAAGAGGCGGAGCTAGAGAGAATCACCACTTGATCCTTCAAAAAAGATGTTATTCAGCCGGTATTGCTGCCCAATTGGGACGTGTCTTTGAACGTTCCGCTGATTGGGCCACAATATGCGATCTTCCTGCAATGGACACAACGCAAGAGACAAGTCTCGGTGAACACAATGGTACCGTCGATGCGCGGCCGCTCAAACGACAGCGCAGCGACTCCGACATCGTCGTCACTCGAGACGCGTCATTCTACCCAGAGACGCCGTCCTGTGGCGACTATTGCATTTTGAGGGTCGAGACTACGCTCTTCAGGGTACGTGTCTACCCCATCTGTAACAATCAAGTCCTGAGAGATCTATAATGTAGGTCCAAAAGTCACTCCTGGTGCGCGACTCACCCGTGTTCGCGACGATGTTTGGGTTACCGCAGGGCGAGCTGCCCGCTGACGGGATATTTCATCTTCGACACTCACGACACCTTAGTCCAAGTACGACACATACTATTTTCGGTAATTGATGGACAGAAAATGATGAAAATTTGTCCAACTGCGACACTTGAAGGCGCTGATGGCCAAGTCCGACACTCCCGTTTGGGGGATTCACAAGGAAATGTGACACACGGCAGATCATAAAGTAGGATGGCAAGCTCCGCGCAGCGGGCCCCCGTGGCGAACGGCAGCCCGCGGCAGCGTGGGGTCCGGGGCGAAGCCCTGGTCGGGGTCCGGGGTGGAAAACCCCGGCCGTCGCGGCCGGCGCCGCAATCTAGTCCCAAAAAGGACTTGTTAGGAGTATCCAAGGCGAAAGAGAGGGAGAAAAGAAGGGAAAGGCTCCGCGCAGCGGGCCACGCGGCGAGCGGAGGCTCCCGGCAGGGTGGGTCCAGGGCAAAGCCCTGGTCGGGGGTCCGGGGTGGAAAACCCCGGCCGCCGCGGCCGGCGCCGCAACCCGAGCAGTCGGGAAGATCTTACACTGTCACACATTTTGTCCAAATCCGACACCTGATCGGCACGGGGTGTCGGACTTGAGCGTCAACGTAAGTGTCGCAAATGTCGTGTTTGATACAACCTCGCCCGCTGAGGGCTTGTCGGACAACAATCCCATAGTGCTGGAGGGGGAGAGTGCGAGCGATTTCCGTGCCTTGCTGAAATATACTACTAAACCGTGCGTCTCCGGCTATTTGTGCCTTCCTCAGCTCGCATAAGTAATGGTTCCGACAGTGGTTTCGAGCTTGTTCCGCAAGAGATCCCCTTCGACGCGCTTGAAGATATCATGGCGCTTTCCCAGCTCGCGCACAAGTACGAGATGGAGGGCTGGCAGCGATGGGCGGGTATGGTCCTTCTTGAAATCGTGACAAAACACGCGACCATGCTGTCTGGAGCCCTTTTCGGCAGGCTCTTCGATCTGGCGATGCAGCTCTTGAACACCAAGCTTGTCGAAACGATCGAAAAGTTGTGGCTTCAGCGCATTACTGCGGGTTCTCTACCCTCCTCCGAAGCTATGGATGCGGGTGACAAGCACGGACGACGTCGCTTTCTGACTCTCCTCTACACACGAGAGCTAGACCTTTTTCCTACCAAAATACCCCCAAACGCGCTCCCATTCTCGCAGCCCCTAAGCTTCCCGAATTTGAAGACTTTGGCGCCTCTCCACGCGCAACGCATACTGATTGTCCACGCCTCTCTCTCCATTTCCTGGCAAGCATTCCGCGCATTGAAGGTCGCCGACCAATGCGTTACTCGACAATTTAGCTGCAGCCCAGACCACCACGACCGTGTTTGTCTACCCAACTTCGAATCCCGGTGGCTCCGGGCCATCAATGCAGCTGAAGCACAATGTGCCTTGAGCAACTTCCGGCGTCGTATCGGGAAGGTAGAAGCGGACCTTCGTACCGGCGCTGGCTATGATTCTGAGCCGTCGTGGCCAGTGTCCATTCATCACTCCAGGTCGGGCAAAAATATTTCGCCGCTTCTGGGGTGGGCGGCTCGGAGGCGGCTGGTGGGCGGCTCCACGAATGTTCTGTAGACAATATCTTTATAAGTACTTCACCTAATAACAACATTCTTGGGGCGTTCGATAGCCCCCGACGAGCCCTTTCGAACGCGCCACCGAGCGGCTCGAACGGTGGCTTCGTTGTCGAGCATCGCCCTTGGACATTTTGGGTGGGCGGCTCGGACGCGGCGGTGGGCGGCTTTTTGCCTGAATTTCGCCGCCCTCTTTTTGTGGTGGGCGGCTCGTGGCAGTGCTGCCGCGGCTGTGGGCGGCTCTCGCACAACTGAGTGCGGCTCTCGTGTGACAGAGGGCGGCTCTCAGCCAAGCGAGGAGGGCGGCGATGACATGGCCGCCCACCCCAGTAAGCGGCAGCTGCGGCGCGCCTCTCTTCCATCGACCTCACTCCTTGTCACCACAAGGCCGTCGCCTTCGTCGCTGGCCACTTCTCCGGGTTGTGAACGCATGTTGCGTTGCCCGCGCCGTCGTCGTCGTCGCCATCAACGTTCGCCGGCGGCGTCGACACCGGCGGCTGACAGATGATGAGTCATCACTGCATCTTGCCTCCGCTCCACCACCATCCCGACATGCCCCCGGCCACGGCCCCCCCTGTGACTTCAAGAACCCAACGTCGGTGCCCTCACACAAACCCAAAGCACATGGCCGCCCGCCGCTGCCGCACTGCGCAGCTTCAAGTTGGTACGCGGCTTCAAGTTGATGAGCGGCTCGGCTGCTCCCCGTGCGACTCGGCTGCTCCCCGTGCGACTCGCCGGTCGAGGACGGACCCGCATTCTCGACATATCTTGTTACTTCACGCGAGCATCGCCGATCGCGCACCGTCGACTCCACCGCCACGACCACCAAGCGAAAGTGCGCCGCGTGCCGGGCCCGCGTGCGTTTCTGCCTTCACAGGACTTGACCAATGTCTCCAACAACAACCTCGGTGCCCTCAAGTTGCACAGCCCAGCTTTCCAGCACCACTCAAAGCCCGCCGGTGAGCCGTGCGAACAAAAGCGCAGTGGGCGTGGCGCGTCGGTGACACTACGGTGGCCATGCGAGGGGGACGGCTTCTAAATACCATAAGTGGCTTGTAAACTACTAGATGTCCAAGTCCCATGCCCTCAGAAGCCCTATATAGTTGTTGGACACTCCAATTCTACAAGATCAGGGGGGTTTTCCACATGGTGTAACATGTGAATTCAACAATCCCTAAAGATTTATCATTACTTAGAATGTAAATAGCAGCACAACAACTGCAAATTATCCATTGGGGTCTTCACTATAGTGTATAGAACACACAAGACTATGTAATCCAACAAAAATCCCAAAACCTTAAAGTACTTCGCCGCCCACCCCTGGGCGGCGCGTTGACAGGGCCGCCGCGGCCCTGAAGCCAACGGAGACGACGCCAGCCCTCAGCGTGAGTGTTTCTTACACATATCTATTATCCAGCACATTACCATGGCACCCACCGCCAACTTTCAGAGTCCTCATGACGTTGCTCGACGACGGTGGGCGGCGAAGTGCATGATTACGTCAGATCATGTACTTCGCCGCCCAACCCGCCGCCCACCCACTGGTGTGACTGCCGCGGCAGCGTGACAGAGGTGGGCGGCGATGGGGCTAAGTGACGCGGCGGTGGGCGGCTGGTGGGCGGCGGAGGGCGGCGAAATATATCTGCCCCGCGTTCCTTGATGAATTCTACCAGAGTGTCGTCGGCGAAGTCCAACCAGCTGGACAGGGTAATGGAACGAAGCTCAGGTATAAGGACAGCGTCCCTCTGAGCCAGTGCTAGTAAAAGCGCGTTCGTGATGACCGCCGGGAGGCCCGTTTGCGCCGGGAGGTCAGACACGAGGAGTTGCTCCAGCTTCGGAAGCAGCTCGAGGGCTGAGAGCAGTTCCGCAGTCGTCACCACGGCGATGATTGCCAGGCTCGTGAGTGTATCCTCAAATCTTGACCGTACGGCAAAGGAGGCGAAGGCCGCTGGGGCCCATACCGGAAACTGGTGCGGGTCAGGATCCTGCTGCGGAACGAGCCGGAATTTCCACATGGCAGTACAAGTGAACGCGTTGAACCAATCGCTGAGTTCGACATTGTCCGATTGTTCTTGGCAGATGCTGAGCGTTAATGACGTTATATTGGAGAGGACCGGAGTCTGCGGGCTTCGAGGTGAGCAAGCAACTGGGAGGTCCGGGTCCGTGCCAGTTGCTAGCTGTGCAAGGCACATATCGATGTAGAAGGAGCTGTCAGGGCCAAGTTCCCGGAGTGAAGCCATTGTTGCGTTTGTAAGAGATTTTAAAGCCCGCCAGTCAGAATCATAGCGGTAAAACATCGCGAAAGCACGGATATGCTCCCAGGGAAGGATCACATCTGGAACATCTCCCGTGAAAGTGACGTTCGAAAGCCGCGGACTGTGCTGGAGGAGGGCGAATGTCTTCTCATCATTTGGCAGAGAGAGGCTGAATTCCACAGTCGTAAGTTGGTGAAACACGGGCGGGGATTCAAACGGCAACTCGAGGAGTAGAGATAATGAATCGATCTTTATGAAGACATCCTCCCAGCGAAAAGCGTGGTGAGCAATCAAGGACAATGCACGGACCATCACTGACTGTGAGCTTTCATCGTCTGAATCCGGGCCCAAAAAGGCGATGGTCAGTGGATGATTGGCGCTTTTGGACAATGTCGATGCAAGGAGCGGAAGAAAGACATTCGTAGACTTGTCAATGTCAGGCCAGAGATCACAATCGACGCGGATATTTGCCCAGAGCCGCGGAGTTTCCATCACAATCAACCGCCAATGCGACGAGACCTGTTTACGCCAAAAGTGAGCGGAAACTAGAAAATACTAGTATAAGTAACGAAGTATACCTGGGCAAGCCGAAGGAGGCTTTTCTGTCCTAGGCGCTCTAGCTCGGATTTTTCTGTATCCAAATCCGATCTCCCAAACTCTCCGGGCCCCAGCAGCCCCGCGGCAAGCTCCAGAATGTCAACCAGCAGCTCTGCAGGCAATTGGCGGATGTGGCATTTGAGCGCGGACTGGCAGTCCTCAAGATAACGAGTCAGTTGCCGTTGTTGGGCAGATAACCTCGTAGTCAAAGCCTCCAGCTGTTGAATACCGGCCTTGTACCGCATGATTTCGTCAGGCACCTCATTGACAGCACGTCGCAGGGTAGAGTCGCCGAGAGTACTAGCATGGAAAGATAATGGCTCTCGCGCGCTGAGGCTGGCGAGGAAAGGGGATACGTCGAAGGACCATGTCAACGTTGAAGCTTTGCCAGTGAAGTCACTCATGAAAGTCAAAAAGCAGCCTTGTCACGTCGGTGATGGGATCAATCGAAAAATTTTGCCCTATTTAGTAGATACTTGAGTACTTGGATGATTACGATTTAGCTAGTCAGCACCAAGTTATTACATTAAATGACCAACTCTCCGCGTCGGGATACAACTGCGGCCCACACGGAACCCCCTCCCGACACAGTCGGTCCGCGAAACCCGCGAAACGGATACTCGCGCAAATCGGTGTTCTGGTCGCTCAGCACGAATTTTGCCTCATCGAGCTCATTGACTTGAGCCACAACTCTATCAGAGAACACCCCCAGGTACGGACTCAGTGCCTCTTTAATCTGTCGCTCATTGTTTGGGAGGATACCCGTGGAGATGGCGGATACGCGGGCGCGCTCTGCTTCTGCAAGAGCCAGCGAAAGGACAATATGCTTGATATGCGGGAGACCGATGATTGTGTCGAAGAATGCGCTCTAGGGCGGAGTATAAGAACGATATTGGAAGAAACTGCAAGGGCTTACTCACCAAGCAAGGCAATCTCCTCTCGATAGCAGCCTGGTTAACGCTCATCTCCAACCGCTCCAAATTCTTCAGACAATCAAGGGCTTGAATGTTGGAAAGGCTGATTGACCACTCGTTCTCGTATTGCATGGGACAGCAAAGAACTGTGAGGGTAGATTTATGGAGCGGTAACACCTCGTCGAAGAATTCCCGAGCGAGCGGGTCAAGCTCTGCTGGACTCCGTCGATCGTGAACATTTCTTTGAATAACGAGGACTTGCAATCCGGAGTAAGACTTCAGATATTCGAGCACAGATGGCGTTATGCGATCGACGGTCAACGATTGTAGATGAATCCCAATTCGAAGAGTTGTGCGCCAAACGTCTTGCCAATCCTGCACACCCAAGAGTTCAAGGACGCGGAGATCAGGGCAATTGGCGACGACATTCTCAATCGACGCTGGATTTGGGAGGGAGTTGGATGGGGTGGCTGGTGGATGAACGACAAGTAACCGCCAATGTAGACCAAATGTCAGGAATTGCTGTGGTTCGGGCAACGAGGGGGATGTGGAGATTCTAAGTGTTGAGAGATGGGACAATATCGGAAGCGTGATTTGGGGATGGTCGAGCTGTCGGAGGTCGAAGTTTTCGAGGTGGGGAAATGCTGGGAGGACAGAGCAGATGACGTCATATAGCCAAGGCGGGTCGTCCCGCGAGACGAAATGACTACAGTCGGTGAACACGAAGAATAGAGAAGAGAAGCACTGAATATTCTCACCGGACGGTTCTTATGCGCCGAGCACACGATAAGAGTGCGGAGGTTAAGAGTCCAGGCGTGGCATCCTCGGGCTCTGACCCCCTTCGACTGCCGGGCCCCATGGTCGTCTGATGACGAATGCTCAAAGTTCTCCCATATCTCGACCAGCACGATTTCCCGTTCGCCAATGTGCGGATGAAGAGCATGGTGTTGTCCGAGAAGAGCTGATCGCTTGGAATGAAGATGATCTTGCACAGCAGGGGCTCAACGCAAAGTTGTAGGTATTTGTTAGTCGCGCGCAGCGCTCCTTGGTCCGCAACAGCAAGCTAGATACCAATGTGTTATCTGACGACGAACAAGTCAAAAACTAATTGAATACTCACATGTGAAGCCACCTCTTGCACAATTTCCGTCGCTAAATCATCGAGGGAAGCCATGAGATGAGGGAGTGAGGAGGGTGAAATTGGGGAGGCTGAGCATTTCCGCAACAGCTTATTTGTAGGGAAAAGCCTGGGAGCGTGGGTCGCGGTGATATGTTTCCGATTTGGTGGGATGGGAACCGAGAGTAACAAGAACTCGAATTCAAGGTTACCCAGAATGGGATTAGCTCTTCCTGGGGACCAACTGCGTGAAGGAGATTTCCCTGTTGGTCGCATGGCGGAGTGCTAGTTTGTAGAAGAGCGCGATTACAATGAATGGATGAGGCGGAATATGGAAATGCGGCTGTATTGCTTTAAATTTAGATGTCGCTTGGTTCTTTGAGAAGGACTCACCAGTCATTCAAATCTCCACGACGAGAGCCGTTCCCCCTCAGCCCATGTGAAGTAAGTTTTCTAGCGTTCACGGTCGACCATCACGGTGAAATACACAGCAGGTTATGCCGTTCGACACTGTTTCAAGTTGACCACTGGTCCACTGCAACTGCCGGTGCTCGTCCGAATGTTCTTGCTCAACAGCTTTTGCAAACGGCAGATGCATCAATCCCCGTAACATTGATGAAGTCTCTTATCCAGTGTCAGTTTTTCTGAGAGTGTCAAGACAGCGGTGGTTGCGGGCGGTTCCTGCAGTTGCGATGGCCAGCGAAGAGCTATGTGTCACACGAGTCACGGATCTTTTTTTGCGCGACTTACCATCTAGACGACCTGTCGACGATACCCGCGGGCGTCTAAATTGTTGCAGGGGAACTCAAATATCTCATCAAGCGATTCATTGTGCCACTTGACCGGTGTCGATGGACCAGAGTGTGTACCTGTATGGAAATGCGCATACTTACTACCAGTACTTACTAGTATGTGGGGTTTTCAAAAAGGATCGAAGCGGAGCGGAATATTGCATCTCGCGAGTGGGTAAGCCTTATCTTTCATCTCGGCCCAATCGTCAGCTGAGGATATGATGCGTCTAGACCCACTGAACAGCAGCCACGGATCAAGTCGACAGCTACCTACTCAGGACTCAAACCTCTCAGCTTCCGGTTCCGGAATCCAGAAACATGAAGCACTCTAGAGCCGCCTTCTCAATACTCGCCGATTGGTAGTGCATTCCAGTTCTGCATTGTCGACTGCTGACTGAGCTCAGGCCATCATTCTACTCCCGGTTCCAGTCTGGCCGCTTAACTGCCGTCTATGGTGCCGCCGGCCTAGTCACCGCTAATTTGTGACAGCTGACAAATCAGCACAGCCACCGCTCAAAGCGAGCGAGCCGTTTTTTTTCTGCACGTAATAAACAAGTAATTTAGGCCGGCTGTAATGTACAAATGAATTTTTTAGCTTCTACCCACAGTGTACATGCCTACACGACTCAGAAAACGCTACCTGCGCCTTGCAAGGACTGCCCGCTCCCATCGACACAAGAAGTCTCCGGTTGACACCATCGAAATTCTCTCTTCCGACTCCGAAAATGATTCCATCGACGATGACTCGGAGACGACAACCTGGAAAGGTGGAGTGTCCCACAATGTTGAAGAGTGGACCGAAGATGATTGGGAGTGGGACATCAACCGGGTAGATGAGTGTGCCAGTGAGGAGGAAGTGGGCATTCTGGACATTGAGCCACTGAATGAGGAAGAGGAGATTGAATGCCTTCGCGGCCAGATGGAGAGGGAAATGCAAACACTGCGTAGTTTGCAGCAGTGGGGAGGGATAATGAAGAAGCGAACGGCAAAGGAGTGGAAGAAGGCGGAAGTGACAGTGGGACGCAGCGTGCATACCAAGGGCAGTCCTGGCGAGAGCACTGAGCGCCGACACCGCCAACTGGCGCGCGAGCGCGAAGTTGCCGCCGCAGCATCCAAAATAAGGTATGCTCAGCATCCAGCATGTCGTCTGACTCTAAAGTATTGTCAGTTCTGAGTCTCAGACTTTCGTGAAGCATTTTGGAGGCGTACCTGTTGCAATACCCACAGTGTCTCCACCACCTTCGCTTCCGCCAGCTCCGCTGCCAGTTCCCAGTCCCGCAGCTTGGGAACCCCTTCCCAGTGACATTCTCCAAGATGGAGTCTTCGACCTCCAACGATTCTTGCAATTCCAAGCCAGCCAGTCATCACCTCCACCTCCACCTGAGCCTGTACCCATTCCCTCGACTTCCAATGTGGCAAGCAGTATCGAGATTGATGATGACGATGATGTGTTTGTGGGCGGATACGCGTCAGACTTCCAAGACGAGGAGTGGGAGTCTGACAACGATGGTGATGAGCAAGAGAGACAAGCAGTGAACGACAGTCACGCACCAACGATTGCAGAACTATTTCGTCGTCCTCGCAAACGCCGAAAACTCGATGTACCTGTCCGTGTGGCTCGTCAGAAGGCACGGGAAGAACGGCTTAAGCAACAGACAGATGCTCTGACAGCAATAAACAAGCACATTACTTCAAAGAAGACTGAATTCCAGGCGGGACAAAACAGCCTCCAAGCACGGCGTGCTCGTTGCGTCCAAAGCTGTCTTCACATGATGGTTAAAGGTCATCGGCGGCTGATGGATGCATCTGTGCGAGCTGCAGAAGCCAATGGATTTGGACCAGAGTGGGGAAGTCGACTAACGCGCATCTGGGTCCATGACTGGATTAACAGTCGTATCCTCCCGCAATCCAGCCGTGGCCACCATTCAAAGACAGAGAGCTTGCTTGACGATCCTGCCATCCGCGACGAATTGCTGTCATATCTCCGCTCTAACAAGTGGGTTACCGATCCGGCAAAGTTCTCTGAATTCGTGCGAGCCAAATTTGTCTCACCTCAAGCCCAAGAATATCTTCGACATCTGGTCGACGATGAGATACCCAAAGCCCTTCGAAAGTATGTCGTCAATACACTGTTTCCACGTGTTGGCATAAAGGTCGGTTTGGGACAAACAATCTCGCTTTCGACAGCTCGCGAATGGCTGGCCAAATTCGGCTGGAAATATCAAGAACATAAAAAGGCTCTTTATTATGATGGACATGAGCGACCGGATGTGGTGGCTTACCGACAGAAGGAATTCATTCCCGCAATGTTGAAGCACAAGCCTCGATTGGTGGAATATGTGGTCGGGGAGGTTGAGCGATTGGTTGAGAAGGGCGAGGGTGTGATGGTCGAGAGACAGCTTGTTCTCTGCTCGCACGACGAGGTTACCTGTCAAGCACATGACGGACGAGCAAAGAGTTGGGGTCCAGCAGGTGAACAGCCGCTGCGAAAGAAGGGGAAGGGTCGTGGTCTTCATTACAGCGGTGTTATCGCATCGACATGTGGACATCTGAAAGATGCAGGTCAGACGATTGAATACGGGAAGAACTATGATGGTTACTGGAATGGCGAGCTCTTCGTGAAGCAGGTGTGTATGTATCGTTCTTTTTTTATCATTGACTGAGCATGTTTCAGCTGAAAGAAAAGATCATACCTGCATTTGAGGCTGCCCATGGCCCAGGATATCAAGCCCTGTTCATGATCGACAACTCACAGGGTCATTCAGCTTATTCCGAGGATGCTTTGCTGGCTCAACGGATGAACCTTAATCCAGGCGGCAAGCAAGCTCGACTCCGCGATGGCTGGTATCTTGATGCTGACAAGAAGCGTGTTCCTCAGCCAATGATTTACCCGGCAACCCACTCTGACGACAAACTCAGAAATCAGCCCAAAGGGATGCGCGTTGTTCTCCAAGAACGTGGACTTTGGCGATCAGGGCTTCTTCGAGAGTGCAAGAATCCATGCAACACCGATCGTGATGATTGCTGCTGTCGCCGGATACTGGAGACACAGCCTGATTTCAAGGCCCAACGATCTCTTGTTCAAGAAACTATCGAAGAGGCCGGCCACCTCTGCATCTTCCTTCCCAAATATCATTGTGAACTCAACTTTATCGAGTTCTTTTGGGGAGCTGTCAAACGACGACTGCGGGAGGTTTGTGACTATACCTTCGATGGTTTGAAGAAGAACTTCGATGAGTCGTTGGCATCCATCTCAGTGGAGACCATTCGGAAGTGGGAGCATCGTATGTGGCGATGGATTGATGCATATAATGGCGGCTTAGATTGCAAGGACGCGCAGGCAAGGGTTCGGCAGTTCAGTTCACACAAGTATAAGTCCCACAGGCGTGTCCCAGAGACCCTTGCACGTCAGTTTGATGTATAGATAGCTTGATTCAACATGTATCTGACCCGCGTTATCATCTGTTATCGTGTTCCTTGGAGGCCACGTGCATTGCACGTGATGCTTATATAACACCGCTCAGTCTCAAAGTATCGAAAATTTATTGAGGCATTTTAAGGGAAAACCCTCTAACAGATTGTTTACTAGACTCAATTCAACTACTTTTGTAAGAGGGATAATGAAAATATATATTCTATGCTGAGCTCATCGCCTTGTCACAAATTAGTGGTGACTAGGCCGGCGGCACCATAGGGCAGTCGAATGTCGATAAGCGACCCGCTAGTGCGCCATAGCCGAGCTGCTCTCCGACTCCGCGGCCCCCTTACACTCCCGCGATACGATTTAAGGTGGGAAAGCTCGCTTCTTGGCGCCACTTAGTGTCACTTCCGTCGAGCGTTGCCTTAGCGTGTTGCTGCCGTTGCAACGTACAAGCTGCCTTTCACACACACAATTGGAGAACCAACCGAATACCGCCCAGCTCCGCCCAATACCAACGCTATAAGAACTATCGCACCAAATGCTATCGCCAGCTATGATTTCCCTCCAGAATCTACCCAACGAACTCATATACGAGATTGCCTCTCATGTGAGCTCTACTTTTCTCTCAATGCTGGAGATACTCATTCTAGTTCTAGCTCTGCATCGCAGACCAGGCGTCCTTGCGCGCCACAAACACGATCCTTCGACTCTGTGTCGAGCCCCTGTTTTGTAGGAATATATATATTCCGACCAATCGCTTGCGCTGGGAGAGGACTAGCGAATTCTTCCGGGCTTTGAACGCGGGCAGCACTGGGTGGTCTCGATATGCCAAACGACTAACTATTGCACGGGCAACAACGCCGATTCCGACATGCTCTGCTGCGTCGGCTATAATCGAGGAGTCGCCTGTAAAAGGACTGCTGCTCGCCATCCACGCATGTGCTCGTCGCATCACCAGTATAGTGTGCGTTTTTTCTTTCTTTTTGCAGAAATGTGTGCCTGACACCAAAGCAACTGTAGATTCCGCATCTCGCACGATGACCCGGCATGGCTCTACGATACGGTCTGCGGCACGTTGCCAGCGTTCTCCGTGCTGGCCTCGTTCGAGCTTATCCAGCCGGACTATGTTGACCTTGCCCTACCCCGACTTTCAGGGCTGGTCGCGCTCAAACTGTCATGCGCGACCGCCCATCCCAAGCCGAAACTGTATCTCACTGCTACCCTCCCATTGCGCATACTCCCCATGCACCCTCCTGCAACCCCATCCCAAGACATTCTCAATCAAGTTCCGGCTGAGGATATCATTTGCCTCTCCCCCAACCTTCGCGTTCTCGAGCTCGTCGGGATTCGTGACTGGGACCCCGTCTGGGACGCCCTGCTTCGCAGTCGCATCGAGCTCAAATCCGTGACGATCAACCGACTCTCCGCCGCTGCCGTCGCATACCTCAAGTCGTATTCGGGACTGGAGGCCCTCGTCGTACAACCCAGCTGCGAGACTTCGGAGTCGACTTCGACGGAGAAGGCGGCTGGTATGCGGGAGCTGGTCGCTGAATTGAAGGAAGCAGTTCTTCCGCGACACAAAACAACGATGAAGCTACTAGATCTGAGCTCCTTTGATACATTATAATTACTACTCACATCCACTACTTAGCTATAACCAGCAGTCAAAATTATTATCTGGCTACGCCTTAAGTACTAAGTAGTAACCCAACAATAACCTCGATCGCTCAGTTCGACCATCCACTTCTGCGTTCCGAAGTAGGGCTCCAACCTTTTTGTTTCCGTTTGTGGGTTGAGACAAATCAAACAGAAAGGGTTCAACAAATGTTTTAAAACATTCTAAATAGTTTTAATACAGTTTAAAAGTCATCAATATATTTTTGTCTTCCTTATATGTAGAAAATGACAGAAATATGATATAATTATTATGTTGCTATGGCTGCAGGATGATAAATTATTCTAGGATAGTATTTCTGTGGTCTAGAGACATTAAATCACTGTGAAATTCCTTATAATAGACAATCATCAGTATTAATTCAGACATGCTGACTAATGCCATTGATATCTCTATTCCTAAAACCATATTCAAGTTCAGGTGAATCATTACTGAAACTGAGAATAGTTGTCAGGGGAACCTCCCTTTCGGCCCCTCGGAGACGATTCCGATTCCGGTCCGACTCCGGCTCCGACTCCGGTGATCGCATCACCGCCTCCGTCAGGCGCATCGCCGCCCCCGCCTGGCGATCCCCCTGGGACCTGGCCTGCGACATGGCGCAGGCATACTGCACGGAGCAACGATCAACCTTGGCGCGTCAAGAGCGCAGTATATAGTTCCGCTACCTAGCAGGCGGACCCTTAGAGTTTCTTCTCTTTGGATCCTCCACTGCTAGGACCTTGATCTCAGGCCTCCGGGGTTGCCCCTTACAGCAGAAGAAACTCTCTACGGGATCAACCGGACAAGATTGCTAGGTTCGGGCGCTGACTCAGGCTCGGAATACGAGTCCGTTCCGCCCTCGTCACCCCCCCCTACCACTTGTCCCCTCCTCCTCTGTCACTCCTGTCATCCCCGCACCTGTCATGCCTTCCGGAGCTACTCCTGATGCTGACACTCGGCTGGATGCACTCGAGGCGAAAATCGACCGCCTAACTGAGGCCCTTACTCTTCTCACCACCCAGGCTTCCGCTGCCGCTGCCGCCGCTAATACTGCTGGCGGACCCCAAACAACACCACCCCCGGAGACGTCGATTCCGACTCCGACTCCGGTTCAGGGCGATTCCGAGGCCCTCTTTGGCGACATCAACCTCGCCTCAAAATTGGTCTTGCGACCAAACCCTCCGTTCACCTTCAACGGCGATCGGAAACGCGGGCCGCGCGTTTCTCTATGCGGTCCGCACCTACGCCCGCCTTGCCCCTGAGGCCTTCGTGGTCAACGGAGAGGCGAGCGAGGAAAAGGCCGTCCGCTATGCCATGTCGTTTATGGCAGAAGGACCCGCTCAGCAATGGGCGGAGCGCCACGGAAGCAAAGCCCCGTTTCTGTTTCCGTCCTGGGGCTCGTTCGTTTCCGAGTTCCGACTCCGGTTCGTTGAGGAGAATGAGCAAGATCATGCTCTCTCCAAACTGGAGACTTCCGCCTATCACATGGGCACAAAGGATGTCTACCAGTACACCGGACGACTTCGAGGACCTGATGGACCTCGCCGGATTGAAGACGCGTTGGTCAAGGTGACCAAGTTCCGCCACGGACTTGACCCCCTGATCAACAACGGAATCACGTCCTCGAACGACCCCCCGGACCTCCGGGACTACCTTAGCTGGCGCACCCGGGCCTTCCGTCAATACGAGGCCCTGGTCCGGGCCAAGCTGATCAAGTCAGCCGCCCCCAAGATGCCTGGCGGTTTGATTCGGACTCCGTTTCCGGTCAACCGCATCCCGGCTCCGGCCTCTTTCCGCCCGGTGGCTCCGGTCGTGCCACCCGTGGCCCGCGCCCCCGCTCCGGCGCCTCCAGCTCCCGTCCCAATGGAGTTGGATCGCACCAGGGCTCGGGGTGCCCCTCGCCGCGCCTGCTTCAGGTGCGGCGACCCAAACCATCTCGCCCGGGATTGCCCCCTCCCCGCGGACGTCCGCTCAATGGACATCCTCGACGAGGTGATCCAACAACTTCGGTGACGAGATGTTAGCGGAGTTGATCGCCCGCTACTCGGACACAGCTGCGCTGCCGGAAACAGTCGGAGTCGATGGCCGGAGAGGATTTTGTCCCCGCGACGAGTGACTGGTGTGCCCTCGTTCGCGTCCGTAAATCGTTTCGCTTGTTTGTATGACGAATCAATTCCTTTGCCCTACAACGAGCCTGAAACGAAAGACATACCCTCCCCCGCCCCGTTTTGACTCCGTCTCCGACTTCGCCCGCGACTCCGGTCATCGTCCTTCGCCGCCTCACTGCCTGGGAAAAGAAACTGCCCAAGCAGTGCACTGTCGCTGCTTCCCCTGGAGTGAACTCCCTCCACCTCCCGTTGGAGCTAGAGTCCACTACCAGGCGCTTAAGCTCTCGCTCTCTGGCCTGGTTGACTGTGGTGCCACCTCCGACTTTATCGACACGAACTATGTCGCTCGGAATGGCATTCCGGTCCGCACCCTGGCGCAACCGATTCCGGTCTTTAACGTTGATGGCACTCCGAACGACGCCGGCTCCATCAACCAGATCGCGGACTTGGTCTTACGCTACAAAGGCCATTCCGAGCGTGTTCAACTTCGCCGTCACTCATCTTGGTAAACAAGACCTTATTCTGGGGTACTCCTGGCTGCGGAAGCATAACCCGGAAATCAATTGGGAAACCAAGGAGGTCAAGATGACACGGTGCCCCCCGGTTGCTCCACTTGCCGCGAGGAAGAACGCGTTGAACGGACTGAGCTACGGCGACTCCGGCTGCTCCAGAAGCGACTCCGCTCCGGCCCGTTCCCCTCGGTCTGCACCATGGACCTCTCTGGGCCTGACGACGGAGACGATTCCGTCTCCGGTGACGACTCCGCCCTGCCTGATCTGATGCTGGACTCCGACGATGATGAAGACGATGGTCAGCTTGAAGATGGTGACCGCATCTTCTACACCTCGTTCCGCCCCTCGGAGGAGATACGCGCTGGCAGTACTGTCTCACAGCGCCTGGCGAAGCCTTCGCCAGGAACTCCGCCCCTGCGCCCTCCGAGATCCCGGACTGGGCTAAGGAGTTTCAGGACGTCTTCAACAAGGAGTCCTTCGACACGCTACCGGAGCGGAGAGCCTGGGACCACGCCATTGAACTCGTCCCCGACGCTAAGCCCACCAACTGCAAGGTGTACCCCATCTCGCCCCTCGAGCAACGCGAGCTCGACGCGTTCATCGAGGAAGGGCTTTCGACGGGCCGGATTCGCCCCTCCAAGTCTCCGATGGCGTCTCCGGTCTTCTTCGTCAAGAAGAAGGACGGCGGACTCCGCTCGTCCAGGACTACCGTGCTCTCAATGCGATGACTGTCAAAAACCGGTACCCCCTTCCGCTGATCAACGACCTCATCAACCGGCTCAAAGGCGCTCGTTACTTCACCAAACTCGACGTCCGTTGGGGCTTCAACAACGTCCGGATCAAGGAAGGTGACGAGTGGAAAGCGGCTTTCCGGACTAACCGAGGCCTGTTCGAGCCCTTGGTGATGTATTTCGGCCTGACAAACTCTCCCTGACGTTCCAAACGATGATGAATGACATTTTCCAGGACCTCATCCTCTCCGGAGACGTCATGATCTACCTTGACGACATCCTGATCGCCCATTCCGACCTCCGGAAACACCGTCAGATCGTTCAGGAGGTCTTGCGGCGACTCCGAGAGCACAAGTTGTACCTCCGAGCGGAGAAGTGCGACTTTGAAAAATCGTCAATCGAGTACCTCGGAGTCATCATCTCCCACAACCACGTCGAAATGGACCCCGTCAAAGTCACAGGCGTCTCCGCTTGGCCGACTCCGGAAAACAAGAAGGACATTCAGCAGTTCCTTGGGTTCGCTAATTTCTACCGCAGGTTCATTCGGGACTTCTCGACCCTCGCGCGCCCTCTCTTCGTGCTCACCAAGAAGGACCAGCAGTGGACTTGGGGCGACGCGGGAGGCCTCCGCGTTCCAAGCGATCAAGGACGCAGTCACCTCGGAACCGGTCCTGGCGATTCCGGACGACGCACGGCCTTTCCGACTTGAGGCGGACAGCTCTGATTATGCGACGGGGGCGGTTCTTTCACAATCCGCCCCGGACGGGAAGTGGCACCCTGTAGCATTCTATTCCAAAAGCTTAAATGATGTCCAGTGCAACTACGAAATCCACGACAAGGAGATGCTCGCGATCATCCGCGCACTCGAGGAGTATAGACACTTCCTCGAGGGCGCCGCGCATCCCGTCGAGATTTGGACTGACCATAAGAATCTGGAGTACTTTAGGAAGACGCAGCACCTCAACCGGAGACAGGCCCGCTGGTCCCTCTACCTCTCCCAGTTCGACTTCACGCTGCACCACAAGCCCGGCCGCGACATGGGCCGACCTGACGCCCTCTCTCGGAGACCAGACCACGGAATCGATTCCGACAACTCCGACGTCGTCCTTCTGCGGCCCGAACTCTTCCATGTCCGCGCTCTCGAAGGCGTTTCCGTTTCCGGCCCTGGTTCTGAACACCTCAGGCTACCACCCCCCCAAACCTCTTAGGGTTAAATACCCCCCCCTGACTTCTAACCTAAGAGGTTCACCTGCATGGGTTTAACCCACATGCTATGGCTGTTCCCATCACTATGGGTGTCTCCACCCCCTGTCACATCACACCCACTGTTTAGTGCCTGTGGTTCACCCATCCTGAGCAAATGATATTAAATTCGTTCTGGGCTGTATACTCGTGGGAAAGATATAAAAAATTATGTAAATGGTCTGACTAGTCTAAGGTAATATATTATGGTGATTAGGGGATGGGGAAATAACTTTGATCAGTGTGTGGGGGGGATGGTATGTAGGGGGGTTTAGGGCTCTGGGCTAGGGGGTCTAGATAGCTATAGAGTCACTAGCATAAGTAGATAGAAAGGTATTCTCTGCTCTAACACAAAGACCACGGAATAGAACCATTTCAGT